AAAAAAAAACAAACAAACAGAATCTACCCATTTCCCTCATTCTTTTTTTCTTGTTAACAATCCTAATGAGCTTAGACTGGGTCAGGGATGCTACAGTCTTACAGGCGGTGGCAGAAGCTCTGAGAGGCTCACAAACAGAATCAGCGCCCTGGAGGATTTGGCATCAGGGTCTGAGGGAGGGATTTAATCGTGGGACTTTGAATAACTAGGAGTAAGTAGGAGATATCCTGCTTATTTGCCACCAAGGTTATCCTTGGTTTGGATCATAGAATTGCTTTAAAACTTCAATAAAAGCAAGGGGCGCCTGGATGGCTCAGTCAGTTGAGTGTCTGACTATTGATTTTGGCTCTGGTCATGATCTCAGGGTTCTGGGATCGAGCCCAGGGATGTCCACACCCCATATTGGGCTCTGCGCACAGCACGGAGTCAGCTTGGGATTCTCTCTCTCCCTCTGCCCCTCCCCCTGCTTCCCCTCTCTATCTCTCTAAATAAAATCTTAAAAAAAAAAAAAAAGACTTCAATAAAAGTGCTCACTGGAAAAATGCACTTACAAATATTTACATGAGGGGCGCCTGGGTGGCTCAGTTGGTTAAGCATCTGCCTTCGGCTCAGGTCATGATCTCGGGGTCCTGGGATTGAGCCCCGCATCAGGCTCTCTGCTCCTCGGGAAGCCTGCTTCTCCCTCTCCCACTCCCCCTGCTTATGTTTCCTCTCTCGCTGTGCCTCTCTCTGTCAAATAAATAAAATCTTAAAAAAAAAAACACAAATATTTACATGAATACTTGGTTACTCTTTCAGTGTTACCACCCAAGCTGCCCTCATTTCCCCCTTGTGTTAAGTCAACTTAGTATTCAACTGACTGACCCCCCAGACTCTACACAGCAGCCAGACATAGCAGTCTCGTTAAAAACCCAAGTCTCTGCTCAATACAATCCACTAGCTTCCCATTTTACCTGCGATAAACAGCAACATCTCTGTTTACAAGGTCCTCTAGGGTCTGTCTCCAGATACCCTGCTGACCTCATCTCTAGCTCTTCTCCAGCGGCTGTAATCACACCCATATCCTTGCTGATCTCCTAACATGACTGACACATCCTGGCCTCTGGGCCTTTACTTGATGTTCCCTGTACCCTAGAACACCATGCAGGCTCTCAGTCATCCTGTTCAGTCTTTACTCCAGTGTCACCTGGTGGTGGTGGGGGGGGTGCCTTCCTGACCTCTGTGTTTAACGGCAACTCCCCCACCCCCACCCTGCCTGGCACCTCCTATCCTCCTCTGCTTTCTTTTTCTCCATAGCACTCATCATCAGAGTACATACTATGCATTTTATTTACTGTTTATTATCTATCTCCCACACTAACCTCTGAACTCCTTGAGGAGAGTTTTTTTTTTTTTTTTTTGTCTTTTGTTTCACTGCTATTCCACTTCCTGGAATAGTGCCTCACACAGAGGAGGCATTCAGTACTTGCCTGATGGATTCAACCCTTCAGTGGTATGAATGTATCCAGGCTGGGGAGTAGAGGGGAATGTACATGTATTGAAATACTGCCAAGTGCCAAGCAGTTCCCAAGTTAATACCAATCATATCATTTAACTGTCACACCCAATCCTAGAAGGTATTTTTATCCCCATTTCCCCATGAAAACTGAAGCCCAGAGAAGTTAAGAAAATAGACGAAGATTACACAGCCAGTGGTGGAACATCATTCAAACCTAACTCTGTGGTTCTCAAGTCCTGCTATGCCTAGTGCACATTACTTCATTCTCCTTGGTTGCAGTTCCCACTTCTCTAATGAAATGCAACTGCCAGCTTTCACACCTAGTTCCATTTTACAGTGGGGAGATGGGAGAGGTGGGGGTGAATCAAAAAGATTCAGGGTTCCTTGGAGCTGTAATCAAGCAAAACAAACATTAAGAGCCTGAGTCTTGGTAGGAATGCAAGCTGGTGCAGCCACTCTGGAAAACAGATGGAGGTTCCTCAAAAAGTTGAATAGAGCTACCTTACGACCCAGCAATTGCACTACTGGGTATTTACCCCAAAGATACAAATGTAGTGATCTGAAGGGGCATGTGCACCCCAATGTTTTAGCAGCAATGTCCACAATAGCCAAACTGTGGAAAGAGCCTAGATGTCCATCAACAGATGAATGGATAAAGAAGATGTGGTATATATATACAATGGAATATTATGCAGCCTTTAAAAAAATGAAATCTTGCCATTTACAATGATGTGGATGGAACTAGAGGGTATTATGCTAAGCGAAATAAGTCAATCAGAGAAAGACAAGTATCATATGATCTCAATGACATGAGGAATTTGAGAAACAAGACAGAGGATTATAGGGGACGGGAGAGAAAAATGAAACAAGACGAAACCAGAGAGGGAGACAAACCATAAGAGACTCTTAATCACAGGAAACAAACTGAGGGTTGCTGGAGTGGAGGGGGGTGGAAGGGATGGGGTGGCTGGGTGATGGGCACTGGGAAGGGTATGTGCTATGGTGAGCGCTGTGAATTGTGTAAAACTGATGACTTACAGACCTGTACCCCTAAAACAAATAATACATTATATGTTAATAAAAAAATTAAAATAAAAAAGAGCCTGAGTCTTTTTGCTCATTAACATCAAACACTGTCAAAGTTACAATGTAATAAACATCCTTCTGAGGGAGCTGATCACTTTCAGAGTTTCATTCATTTCATTCACTCATGAGTTTATTTATAAATACTTGCTGAGCGCCTACTAAGTGCCCAGTACTACACTGGGCATTGAGGATAAAGAGATGCATAAGGCCCAGATGTTACCCTCCACAAACATTTGAAGTTCAGCGTAGTGCTGTCCAATAGAAGATCATGTGAGCTTAGTATGCAGTTTTACATCTTCTAGGCACTACATTTTCAAAAAAGTAAAACAGTTGAAATTAATTTTAATAATATATTTTTATACAGCCCAACATATCCAAGATATAACTTTAACAGGTAAATCAACATAAACATACTATTGATATCTTACAGTCTTTTTTTGTTTGTTTGGCAGCACATCTCTGAAATCAGTGTGCATTTTGCACATACAGCACATCTCCATTTGGACTAGCCACGTTTCAAGAGCTCAATAGCCAAAAAAAAAAAAGAGCTCGATAGCCACATGTGGCTGGCAACAACAGCATTTGACAGCACAGGGTTAGGGAAAAAGGTAAAGTCAAGGGGATTCTCAAAACAATGTAGTAAATGCAATGATAGGAGAATGACTCAGGATTACTCAACTGCCAGGTAGGACTTGAGCCTCCAGGGATCTTCCAACCCCAAAGATCTTGTTCATTGTGCAGCACATTAGAGACTTTGCCCCACTCCAAACAGTGGGATTGTGGTTGTCCTCAACCAACCAACCAACCTTAATATATCCAAACAAAACTCATCCTTTTATCTCAAATACCTACTTCTCATTTTGTATTTCAGTTGATGGCATCATTATCTACCTGCTCACTCAAGTCATTCTCATTTCATCTTCAGGTAAATGAGTAGTACTTTCTCTAGAAGATAATTTAAAATCCAAATATTTAGTATTTTTTTAAAAATGCCTCTTCCTCGGGGCGCCTGGGTGGCTCAGCTGGTTAAGCAACTGCCTTCGGCTCAGGTCACGATCCTGGAGTCCCTGGATCGAGTCCCGCATCGGGCTCCCTGCTCGGCGAGGAGCCTGCTTCTCCCTCTAACCCTCCCCCCTCTCATGTACTCCCTCTCTCTCTCTCATTCTCGCTCTCTCAAATAAATAAATAAATCTTTAAAAAAAAAAATGCCTCTTCCTCTCCATCCCAACTAACTGAGCGTGTTCAGGCCACTTTCATCTCTCACATGGATCACCACAAGAAACTTTTTTTTTCCAGCTTTATTGAGATGTAATAGACATACATCACTACATAAATTTAAGGCCTACATAGCATAAAGGTTTGACTTACATACATTATGAAATAAATGCCACAGTAAGTTTACTTAGCATACACCACCCCATATAGATACAATAAAGAAAAAAATCTTCCTTAATAATATGGAACTCTTCAGGAATTTGTAGGTCATGCTTGCACGGGGCCACGCTAACCTCTGTATGTTCCAATTTTAGTATATGTGCTGCCCCAGCAAGTACCAAGAACCTTTTAATTTCTTCCCTTGCCTCAGTCTCTCCCCCACCCAGCCTCAAAAGTAGTTACTATTCCATAAAGCCCTTCATGGTTCTCCATCCCCTACATAATAAAAGCCAAGCTCTTTTTCACGTAGCACAGAATTCCCTCCAGAATCTGATTTTGGCTTACCTAACAACTTCCGATTGTTTGCTGTTCCTAAACCCCCGAACTCAAACTCTCTTACGTTCTCTGAGCCTGCTACTCTTTTGTAAAAATAGCCATCCTAATCCCTCAAAAAGTTGACCTGAGGTTTAAAATGACCCTACACTTTGAACAATACTCTCCCCATCACTCCTTTACACTTTAAATCTGTATCTATGTATCCAGTGCCTCTTTTCAACTCAATACTATTTGTTGAATACACTACGTGCTAGGCTCTGTGCGGGACACAGGACAGAGGGAATACAAAAAAGTAGGTTCAAGGGCGCATTCTTTGCCTTCCCCAAGCTCATTACAATACACTTTCTCAACCATTATCTTTAAGAACTGGATCATCTCTAACATCATGAACAAATCTGGGGGTCCTCCGGAAGTTCAGGCCGGACTGAGACCCCAGCTGACACCACGTGACCGCACCTCCGCTTTCTTCCGCCGCCACACGGAGCCGGGAACCACCCTAAGCCCCATGCCGGTTCTCAAAGCCTCACTCCGCCTAACCTGACCACCGCCCACGTGGCAGGCGGGGGGCGGGGACGCGTGGAGCAGCTTGGGCCCGGATCTCTGCGCTTGCGCGCTGCGGCGGGCTCAAGGACCCGGATTTAAAGAGACAGGCGCCACAACCGTCGTGGCGGCGCGCTGCCTGTGGGCGCCCGCTGCGAGGCCTGCGGTGTGCGCCGGAGTTGGGAAGGCAGGTGAGGAGCAGGCACGGCAGGACCGGGCAGCGGGGAGGGAGGCGGCCTGGGGCTCCGGGGACCCGGGGCTCGGCGCGGCCTGGGAGCTGGCCCCCTCGGCTCCTCCCCCGGGCGCCCGCCCGCCGAGCCCCGGGGCACACCCTCCGTGACGTGGCTGCCCCCCGGGAGCCCACGGGGGTTGGTCCGTAGCTCCCCGGGACCCCCGCGGCTCCGCGAGTGGGAGGGTCCCCCGGGGCCCCTGTGGGTCCGCTCTGGCCGGCCCGGGTCTGCACGCTGGCCGCGCCGAAGCCGGTGCTCGTTGGTGCGAGCTCGGGAGCCTTTCTCTGCCCGCCGCGTCCCCTTCCCCAGCCCCGGGCAGTGTCCTTGCGCCCCCTGGCCTGCCCGAACCGAGGGACTCGCTTCCCCGCCTCCTCCACGGGCGTCCCCGGGCGTCCGCGCCGGCCAGTAGCCCCTGCCCACTCCTGGAAGGCGTCGGGGAAGACCTCTTCCCCCCCCGCCCCGGGAACTGCGGCTGCAGGGCGCTCGCTTCCCCGCCCAGGCTGCGTTGGGGCCCCAGCGGTTTCCTTCTTGACCACCTTGGAGGAGACGCTGAGCCGCGGCCGTTGGGGGCTGCGGGGCAGACGGGCTTGCTCCGAACAGCACGGTGCCTCCTCGTGGCCCAGCTCGGCCTGGGCCTCGGGCCCCGCGGAGGGTGGGTCGCTGCGAGGCGCTCTCAAGTCGGTTCTTTGGGGAAGGGGGGGGCGCTGCCCAAACGCTCTCCTGAGGACAGGGTGGAAACCGAATTCGTTCTGAGCTCCTCCGATGGACCTGCCGGACTCACATCCCTCACCTCTGTAGTTCTTGAACTTCTCGGGGTTATAGACCGTCTCTCCGACAAAGTGTACATTTATGAATTATGTGCATTTTGTATACATTTTCAGGGAGTTCAGAGCCCACCTCCCCCCAGCCCTTCCATGGACTCATTTTAATTTTCCCAGTCATCCCGTGAGGTAGGTATTATTCTCCATATTTAGAAATGAGAAAACTGAGACGCAGATGAGTTAAGGGAGTTCTCAAAAATAACAGTCCCTAAACTGAACAGTCACAGTCGCACTCCCATCCCCGATTCCGATCCACCTGCTTTCCTCTACAGGAAGTAAAGCCTGCTTGTCGTTATAAACCAATAACAATTTCACTGCAAAGCATGTGCAGGCTAGAAATAATTTCCAGTATATTTAAAATTAGAACAGTGAAGATACTTGAGAAAATATGAATGTAAAAAGGTGGGAGGATACCGTGTGGACATAATCCCTGCTTCCATTTGGGGTGATTTATCAGTTCCTTTGATTTCTTGCCATCCAGTTGCTTCAGCATTCCCCAGTTCCCTGTAGGCGATACATTATGAACAGGCTAATTGCACATAGGGAGCCTCTGCTTAACGGATAACTGCTTTACTGATGGTAATAAGAACTAATGTGTCCTGAACCTGTGCTCTGTTCTAAGCCGAGCTCTGTTCTAAGGGCTTTACTCTTAGAATGACAAGTTAGGTAATTTTGTTATCCACATTTTGACAGTTGAGGAAATTGAGGAAGGGAGAGGTTAAGTAACCTACCAAGGTCACACAGCTAATGAGCTAGGATATGAACCCAGGCAGTCTGGTTCTAAGTTCTATTTAATTGCCTCTCAAAATAGGTCATCTGATTACACCACAGATCTATATAGTGACTTAATTATTTTCTGAGGATGGCATATATGTTCTACTTCACATTAAAAACTTCACGAATATCATGTAATTTTTCTTGGTGACTAAAAAGAAACTTAAGGATCTTGTAATACTTGGGAGTCATCATCCATTCTAAGTATCAGGTATTGCTGATGGCCTGAGAAAAGCTTTTATGTTATTTGGATTTGATTCTCTCAATTGTGATTTACTAGATGTACATGTGTACGTTAGATATACGTTAGATATTTGAACACCCTTCTGCAAACTGAATTTTCCTGTTCTGGAACTCTTCTTCATCCTGTAGGCAATAAATCTTTAATACTTTGGGAAATGTTTGGTTAGTCAGCATGGACTGTATTAGGACTGTGGGCTTTGGGGAAAGTGGCAGCCTAGCTCCTCATTTATATCTCACTTTTCTTGCATCTCACTCTTTCATGCAGCTGTATGACTTTGACTTTCAAGATCCTCTTCCCACCAACCCTCCGCACACTTGGGCGAAAAGAACTGTGCCTATTCCGACAGCAACATCACTGGCCTGACAGAAGACAGTTCAGCCATTGGTCAGAAACAGATCTGCTTCATGGGCACTGCCTCCTCCAGAGAAGAAAGCCTGCTCTGTCATTCCAGGAAGGCCATCTAAGACCACGTGCCACCTGCCTTGTTTTCTTGCCAGGGGCGCATGTGGGACTCTGCAGTGGCCCCTGTGAGATGGCCGAGCAACGATTCTGTGTGGACTATGCTAAGCGCGGCACGGCGGGCTGCAAAAAGTGCAAGGAAAAGATTGTGAAGGGGGTGTGCCGGATCGGCAAAGTGGTGCCCAACCCCTTTTCAGAGTCCGGGGGTGATATGAAAGAGTGGTATCACATTAAATGCATGTTTGAGAAACTGGAGCGGGCCCGGGCTACCACAAAAAAAATCGAGGACCTCACAGAGCTAGAAGGCTGGGAAGAGCTGGAAGACAATGAGAAGGAACAGATAAGCCAGCACATTGCAGGTGGGTAGGGACTACTGCTTTTTCACCATAATGGTGCTGAGAGAAAAAACGAGAAGGAGAGTAGAGTCCCATTTTTTTCTTCCTTCCTTCCTTCTTTTTTGTTTAGTTTTTTTGTTTAATTTTTTGGAAAGAATTTCAAACTCACAGAAGAGTTGTGAGAATAAAAAAAGAAAAAAGCTCATTTTTTTTTTTTTAAGATTTTATTTATTTGAGAGAGCATGAGCAGGGAGGAGAGGTAGAGGGAGAAGCAGGCTCCCCACTGAGCAGGGAGCCCAATGTGGGACTCGATCCTAGGACCCTGGGTTCATGACCTGAGCCAAAGGCAGTCCCTTAACCATTCAGGTGCCCAAGAAAGCTCACATTCCTTTTACCTAGTCATACCTGTTAACATTTTGTTCCCTTTGCGTTATCATTTGTGTTCCTACGTGCACTGTTCCTCTTTCCACACACGCACAGCTTGTTTTTTTCCTGAACCATTTTAGGGTAAGTTACACATATTATGGCCTTTGCCTTTAAATACTTCAGTGTGTATATCTTAAGAATAGGAATATTCTCTCACGTGACCATAACACAGCAATCAACTCTGGTAAATTGATCCTTCATGTAATACTTTAATGCACCATTTGCATTCCAGTTTTGTCCATTGGTCAAACAATATCTTTTGTAGCTTTTTTCCCCTCCACTGTAGAATCCCAACCTGGGATCGGGTATTGCATTTTGTTGTCTCTTTGGCCTCCTTTAATCCGGAACATTTCTAGTCTTTCTTTTATGACATTGATATTTTTGAAGAGTAGAGTACCTACCATCACTCCCTCTTATCTTTCAGTGTTTATCATACGGGCTCACAGATTACTTTTTCCTAGTGGCTTATAATTTTACTGTATTTTTTTTTTTAAGATTTTATTTATTTATTTGACGGAGAGAGACACAGTGAGAGAGGGAACACAAGCAGGGGGAGTGGGAGAGGGAGAAGCAGACTCCCCGCTGAGCAGGGAGCCCGATGTGGGGCTCGATCCCAGGACCCTGGGATCATAACCTGAGCCGAAGGCAGATGCTTAACGACTGAGCCACCCACGCGCCCCTAATTTTACTGTATTTTATTAATTCCATACTTAATTGTCCCATGTTGGGCCACTTGGGAAACCCTTTGAGCTGGTTTCTGTGTCCTGGATGCTGCCTTTTTTTTTTTTTTTTATGTTTTAAAGTACTTTTTTATTTTCTAAGCATAAAAGTATGCTCTTAGGCTTACCTTACCTTTTTTTTTTTAAGATTTTATTTTTGAGTACCCTCTACACCCAACGTTCAGCTCGACTCACAGTCCCAAGATCAAGAGTCATGTGCTCCACCGACTGAGCCAGCCGGGTGCCCCTCTTAGGCTTACCTTATATGTATTCTACCACAACTCTGGAACCAACCATTTCTCTGAAGAATCCTGGTTCCTATTACTGGGGGAATGGCTTTCGAGACCAAAATCTAGATGCTTTGTTGCCATGAGGGGTCTTTGCTTTTAAGCCCTTTCAGCAGACAGAACTAGAAAATACATGTTTACACACAAAACACATGCATATACACACACAGATACATATATATGCACGCATACATACACATTCACGTGTGTATATTTTAGAAATCTTACACCGAAACTTCCAAATCCAGTTAGTCCTTTATGATCTTCCATGTGCTCATCTTTAAAGTAATATTCATATCTTCAATTAAGTATAGTTCTGGTCACTGTGGGAGAACTCTGGCAGTGGCTTAAAAATTGGCAAAAAAATAAAAATGGGCACCTATCTATCATTGTTCTTTGAGAGGAGAGACTTCCAGGAGAGAAAGCTACTTTGCACATACTTCTTTCTCAAGCTCCCTGTTCTGCCCTGCCCTGACTTGGCCATAGGCCCCAGCCTTTGCCACTTCTTGACTAATCTCCTTCAGAGGAAGAGAAAAACAAGGTAGAGTCAAACTCACACAGCTCAAAAAACACAGTGGCTGGGACTTTCCCTGCCTGTGCCAACCTGATATGCTCTGTTCTCCATCTTCATTTTACTTTCTTACTATAAATTGGAGTTAATTCCATGGAGCTGAGGTCCCCAGGTTTTATCTTTGGAGATGTGTGTTCTGATTTTTCCCAAATCTGGAGATCATTATATATGGGATAAGAGGTGGAGAGTGCTGATGAAAATATAAGTTACTAATAGAAGTAGAGTAATGGGGTCTTTTGTCCCACGAACCACCCCTCCCCACCCCCAGGACTGTCTTACCCACTGCCTCCACTCAAAAAGATCAGCCAGTCCACAGGCAGCCTTGGAGTAATGCCGTGGTAGTAACTTATCAGCAAGGCTGTAAGAGCAGTTGTTAAATGCTTTGGAAGCATTTCTCAGGGATCTTTCACTGAAACATACTTTCCCTTTTTGGGGGGTCCTACAGATCTGTCTTCTAAGGCAACGGGCACACCAAAGAAGAAAGCCGTCGTCCAGGCTAAGCTGACAGCCACTGGCCAGGTGGCCTCTCCAGTGAAAGGTGCCTCACTTGTCACCAGTAGCAATCCCCGGAAATTTTCTGGTTTTTCAGGTGAGAGATTAGAGATACTTTAGCTCTTATGGTCCTTTTAATTTGGAATCCTATTTGGGATTCTGGCTAAGAGTAAGATTCCGTGCTATCTAGCCTCATTCATAATTCGCTTCCCTCTGAGCAGAGGCAGGTGATGGCTTATTTTCAACATTTCACTGGTAGAGCGTTTTTTTGTATATGTTAATCTCTATTGCAGCAAAAGATGTTTGTTTTCAAGACTTTTTCCGCTTGAAGTAGTCACCTGGGTCAGATGGAGATGATTATAACCTGCCCTATAACTTCCTTATGTTTTGGTAATGAAAGGATTTTAAGAAATTGCATCCCTAAACTTGCCCAAACCGAGATGAAAGTATGGAAGATGTCCTGCATGGCCTTTACGTAACAGGTAGCATTGGGCTAGGGGCTTTTGTCTATGTAGTTTCGTCTGTTCTTCAGTTACCTTTGGGAAGTACTTTTATGAAGCCCATCTTACAGATGGTTCATTATGGAGTTAGTATTGACGCTGAGGTCTCGTTAACTCCCAACACCTGCGCTCTTTTACCCTGCACTCCATGCCTCTTTTATTTGGGGACATTCTTGTGACTGACTCAGGTAAAGAAAGTAAAGCCAAACACACAGACTCAGAAGTTGTGGAGAGGTGGCTTTAAGTGCGTGAAAGCACCACAGACTTGAAGTTGGGAGGCCTGGGTTCTAGGCCCAGTGCTGTCACGTGACAGCTTGCTCAGGGGGCAGGTGGCTTTACCTCGGAGCCTCTGTGGCCGCCTCTGTGAAGGGGGAACGGTGACACCTGTGTCCTTCACCCTGCAGTATTTGCACGAGGAGTGCTGGAGAGATCGCAAAAACAGTGCCTGATACTTCTGGGGGTTTTGTTATTTTTAAAACTCTGCGGTTTGTTTTTTATTTGGTGGTAGGTCAAAGCCAGAAATACAGAAGAGTCTGGGTGGCAACAAGGACAGCACGTTCCCGGAAGGGTCTGGATCCTAGGGAGGGAAATTTGGGAGGAGCTGAGAGAAATGGGGTGTTCTAAAGTCTTGCAACCTGCTGAACATCGACACTTTGGAGATTTTGTCCCCTAAAAATCCTCTTCAGACGCCAGGTCAGAGATGAGAATGGATTTATAACTTACAGACCTCAGACAAGAGGAAGCGTACGTCAGCAGCCTGCTCGCGGATGGCTCTGCCGCAAGCTTGCAGAATGAAACGTGCTTTGTGAAGGAGGGGAGAGAGGATCACTCAAGAGTTGTAGAGCTATTTCGGGGTGTCTGGAGGAACGTCTTGCTCGCTGACTACCTTTATTTTGGCACTAAGAATGGTGGGGGGGTGGGAGTGGCAGAGGCCTGGGAATGCCTTCTTTCAGGCCTTGGGCTCCTCATAGTGAGAAGAGATTGAACCAGGTCATCTTTAAGGCTTCTTTGAGCCTGACAGTCTGCAACAGGGACAGTTTCCCACCAACGAACATGTCCCTTGGCTTCTATTTCCATTCTCATCCCCACTTTTCTGGGGGCAGCTTTACCACTGCTCTGAGGTCCGCTTATTCTGTGCAGCACTTGTATAAAGAAGCTGGGCCTCTGCAGGTGCGAAGCCATTGTCTCTCTACTGCTAACAGCTGTGATGCCTGGTGCCCTGCCTGTGGGACAGGTGAAGGTCTCCACCCCGCCGGGCCGTTCTGGGCGGTTGAGTGAAGCTCCGTATAGAGTGCCAGCTCAGTGCTTATTAGTTTGCCTTCCTTCTCAGCAAGGCAGATGAATCATCCCGATGTTTTTCTCTCCAACAGCCAAGCCCAACAACTCTGGGGGAGCCCACTCAAGCCCTCCCCCTAAGGCAAGTCTGTCCTCAAGCAGATGTGACCCCAAGCACAAGGATTGTCTGTTTCGCGAGTTTCGGAAGTTGTGTGCCATGGTGGCTGAGAATCCTAGCTACAACACGAAGACCCAGATCATCCAGGACTTTCTTCGGAAAGGTTCAGCAGGAGGTGGGGCCTAGAACATCCTGGATGGGCTTTTCCTCTGAAGAGCTCAGAGCCATGGCCGGTTTCATGGCTGTGTCAATTGTACAGCTGCACAGGGCTTCACGTGTGGTTTAATCCTCTGTTAATGCCATCTTGAAATTCCCTCTCTCTCTTTTTTTTTTTGAAGTTTTTTTTTTTTAAAGGTTTTATTTATTAGAGTGAGTGCACACACGAGCGCAGGCAGGGGGAGGGGGGAGAGGGAAAAGCAGACTCCCCTCTGAGCAGGGAGCCCGATTCGGGGCTCGATCCCGGGACTCCGGGATCACAACCCGAGCCAAAGGCAAACGCCCGACCGACTGAGCCACCCAGGCGCCCCAAAGATTTTTTATGTTTAAGTAATCTCTGCACCCAACGTGGGGCTCAGACTTACAACCCTGAGATCAAGGGTTGCATGCTCTATCAACGGAGCCAGCCAGGCGCCCCTTGAAATTCTTAATAATTTTGAACAGAGAGCCTTGCATTTTTACTTCTTATTGGGCCCCACAAAGAACGCAGTGAGTTCTGCTCAGAGCACATTGGTGTCACTCTTCTTCTGCCCTTACTTTATCCCCAGGAGGCCAGAAGAACGTACTGCCTTTGACGAAGAGGAAAGTTCCCTATCCTGCACGTTTGATCAGGTTTTTGTGACCCATGTGCACAGGTGGAATAGAATCTTCCAGCTCTTTGATTGATCTGAAAAATCATCACTGAGCATGTGTAGTGTGCTCCTCACTGGGGACACTGAACTGGAAGTGTGGCCCTGCCCTGTGGGAGCTCAGCCGGGGGAGGTAGACACGGGAGCCACGAGCTACCAAATGCTGTGGCCTCTGCCACTGTAATGAAACTCGCAGGGCAAAAAAAAAAGAAAAAAAATGAAACTCGCAGGGCATTGTGGCAGCCCAGACAGCGATGTAGACCTCTCTCTCAGTTCCTTGAGTTTATGTATGTATTTGTTTAAGCTCCATTTCTCAAGAAGGTCTCCGTTCTTCTGTCTCCAGATGGTTTCCACGGCGACGTGTACCTGACAGTGAAGTTGCTGCTGCCAGGTGTTATTAAGAGTGTTTACAACTTGAATGATAAGCAGATCGTGAAGCTTTTCAGCCGCATTTTCAACTGCAACCCAGATGATATGGCACGAGACCTAGAGCAGGTCAGAGGAAAGGGAGGGTAGGCAGCGTTCCAGGTGGGGTTCTGCCAAGCCAGGCACCTGCAACCTCTTTTTTTCTGGTTGGGGCACGTACTGTTTTGGGAAACTGAAACCCGTTTGGGCAGGCTTCCTTTATGAGAGCTGAATGTGAGGCGACAGGCGTCAGTTGCACAAGGCTCCGAGGACTGCGGTCATACTCCTGCAGAGCCCCAAGAGGCCTGGATCTCGAGGGACAGGATTTCAGACCTCCCACAGTCTCTCCTGGGCTTGCTGTCCTGGATGCAGCTTTTTCTTGCTTTTTTCCAGTACAACTTGGTATAACATTCAGCTTTTGTTTTTTCATGACTCCAGCTTGGGCAGCATAGAAAGTTTCTATCTAAGCACCTCCCCCCGCAATCTGATGACCATATTTGTTTCTTAGTTCAAATTCTTTTTTTAATATTTGGGGGGGGCAGTGGGGGAGGGGCAGAGGGAAAGAGAATCTTAAGAAGGCTCCACACCCAGCGTGTGAGCCCGACGGCGGGGGGGCTCAATCTCACAACCCTGGATGAGATCATGACCTGAGCCAAATCAAGAGTCAAGCACTTGATTGACTGAGCCACCCAGGTGCCCCCTAGGTTCAAATTCTAACAGGAATCAAATTGGTTCAGTCCTGGATTATTCCTTGCGTCACCTCTCAGCCAAGGCAGGTTGGTGGCCAGATCCTATGGTGGATAGAGGTGCCCTTTCCAGGAACTGTGGGCGGGATAGATTCTTCAAGAATGAGGTTAATATATGTGAGGTGGGGACAGAAGTGATGTTTGAAATCTCTGGTTTACCTTTAGTCCTGGGGGCTTGGGGGATACACTCAGCCACTCTGGGGTTGCAGCCATTTTGATTTTTGGAGACAGGGCGACGTGTCAGAGACAATCAGAGTCTTCTTTGAGCAGAGCAAGTCTTTCCCCCCAGCTGCCAAGAGCCTCCTTACTATCCAGGAGGTGGACGAATTCCTCCTTCAGCTCTCCAGGCTCACCAAGGAGGATGAGCAGCAACAGGCTCTGCAGGACATCGCCTCCAGGTGGGGGAGTTGCCCGATGGGGATGGGCTTGGGGAGATGGAATCACCAGGAAAGGAAGGTTTGGGGGTCCAGAGCTTTTCAAAGACCAAGTTGAATATGCCTCACCCCTAGGTGTACAGCCAATGACCTCAAGTGCATCATCAGGTTGATCAAACATGATCTGAAGATGAACTCAGGTGCAAAGCACGTGTAAGTACTGGCCCCTCTCTGACAGCCAAGCTGCCCACTTCCTTCGTTGCCAACTGGTGTCAGGGCTTTGGAGTCCCAATCTGGATTCAAGTCCTGATTCTACCTTACTCCTTCCTGCGCAGCCCATGACTTGACCTCGCTCAGCCTCCCTTTTCTCATATAAAATGTCACAATACTCTTCTCACGCAGTTGAAAGTATGGAATATGTTCAGTAAATCGAGTATGAGTTGCTTGCCCCCTCTTTGCTAAGGCAGCCTCCACGTAGACCCAGCATCTCAAAATTGCTGAGTTTTCCAAGAGCATTTTCCCCTTCGGAAGGCTTTAGACAGGGAAACATAAGCCTTCCCCCTATATTGAGATCCCTCCTGTCTGCGAGAACTGACCGCTATCTAAAGCAATGAAGTCAAAGGCAGTGGTTTTTGTTTCTTTGCTCCTGTCTGCCTTGACAGGTTAGATGCCCTTGACCCCAATGCCTATGAAGCCTTCAAAGCCTCGCGCAACCTGCAGGACGTGGTGGAGCGGGTCCTCCGCAATGAGCAGGAGGTGGAGAAGGAGCCAGGCCGGAGACGAGCTCTGAGCGTCCAGGCTTCCCTGATGACGCCAGTGCAGCCCATGCTGGTAAGGCTGCTGCTCCAGCCCCGCTTTGTCCAGATGCTACAACCTTCCTTGAGAGCTGGGGCGGCGGCGGCAGGGGGGTTGGGTGGGGAATGCGGAGGAGTTGGGGCCGGGCACGGAGCAGATGCGGAAGGGTATGTGTCAGCGGGTCTGTAGAGGCGGAGGAGAAGACAGTGTGGTCTAGTAGAAATGTCTGCACTCGAGGCCCAGCTCGGCCAACAGCAAGCTGTAGAGTCTTGAAGGAGTTGCTTAGCCTTTCTTGGTTTTTCATTCCTTGCGTGAGTGATGTATGAAACTTTCTGAAGCATCCACCTAGAATGGTTTACCGGTCGTCGTTCCTGTAGATGGGTGGATGTGTTAAGTAACTCCCAAGGTTCTGTGGCCTACCCCAGAGTAGCTCTGAGAGAGACAGAGCCCAGCTTCCTAGGACAGGGGGCCTTGGCCTCTTCTGGAAAGAAGAAGCTTAAGCAATGAAGACCAGGTGTGACCGAGATCATCTTGAGCCTCTGCTCATTTTATGAGAACTGGGATTTCCTTTCTGCTTAGGTTTTTCTGTGCGACGGGGGCCCCCACCAGTGCTGCCCTGCCTAGTGAGAGAGAGCCTTGGGGCTGCTCCCGTGGGGTGCCGTGCCTTTCCTGAGCCCTTCTTGTGCGTTACATACTACAGCCTTCCATTAGGCTTCTATGTTTGGGCTGGGGAAGTGTCCTCTCTCGCCCAGAATGTGGGAGAGCCAGCCCCCAAACAGTGGGATCTTCATCCCGGGGACAGGGCTCCTGGCACCTGCAGTTGTGGCCTTTCTGACTTTTATAGGGACTCTTCTTGGAGTCTCTTCTACAGCCTGTCATTTATTCCAAGAGGCATGGGTTAGATCGCTTAGTGATGAACCGCACGGGCTTTGGAGCTGGGCCTAGCTGCGAGCATCCTTCCTGCCCTTCACGAGCTGTATACCTTTAAGTGAGGACTCACGCTCTTCAAGTGTCCGTTTTCTCATCCATAAAATGAAATCAGTGTCACTCCCGTAAAATAGCACACCGAGGATGCAGTGAATTAAACCACCCCCCCCCCAGGATGGTCGGTCATCGTCAGGTTGAGTCAGGATGGCGTTGGGATGTGCAGAAGCCCTCCTGGGTCCTGTCCTAATGATCCCCGACCTCTGCTGCCCTGCCAGCCTCCCTGTCACCTACACTCTCTCCTCCCCTCTGCATACCGCATTTAATAGCAAACCAGGGCCCTGCAAGATCCTGAACTACTGAGAAAAAAATGAAATGCTGTTTCAGTGGAATTTTATTTGCTCTAACATGGATCGCATTCATGGTCCTCAAAAAGCCAGCTCCCGTGTCCGCTGCAGCGACGCTGTAGTCCAAATAGGGCACTGCCTAGCCTTGTCCACTCCCCTCGCTTCTTCAGCGGCCTGGCCCGAGGGTATCCTCTGGTCGGCAGGCCCTGGGACCTGGACTCTGGGGCTGTCCTTGCTGAGCAGCCCCCATTGAAGAGCACCTGTAAGTCTCCAGCCTTTTCTTTCCCCACCCCAAGGCCGAGGCCTGCAAGTCCATCGAGCACGCAATGAAGAAGTGTCCTAACGGCATGTTCTCTGAGATCAAGTACGATGGGGAGCGAGTGCAGGTGCATAAGAAGGGGGACCACTTCAGCTACTTCAGCCGCAGCCTCAAGCCTGTCCTGCCTCACAAGGTAGGGGTCCCTTCCTCTCTGCGGGAACTGCCTTTCCCTTCCTGCCCCTAAGAACCTCAAGGCCAGGCTTCCTTGTAGTGATTTCAGCTCCGGGACGCAGTTGGGTTTATTCTGTAGTTGTTGAAGGAATGTATTTACTTTTGGAGTCTTAAAATGAAGGGCTGCTCCGTGGGGACAGCCGAAGAGCCCAGACTTGGGTTAGTACAGAGCCTACAGTGATGCTGGGATAGGGAGCTCACCTGGCAAGTGACTCGCAGTGCTTGTCTTTTGTGTTTCCGTGTCCTGTGTGCTCCCCAGTGCTAAATCACCGCTCGGGGACAGAGGGCTGTGAGCCTGTCATTCATGAGTCTGTTTGATAAAGCTTTATCGAGGGCTCAATCTGGACCAGGCACTGTTCTCGGTAGTGGGTGTGCGGCAGTGGATAAAGGACAGAAGTACTTGGAGGCTCACGTTCTCATGTAAATGCAATCTAGTGGGGACATAGGAAAGTGCAGACTCCTGTCCTTTGTTAAGGGGCATTAAAAACCTTGCCCCTCAGTCCTTCTCAGCCCCCAGAGCCTCTGTGAGTCTTTGGACTCTCCTCAGGGCGGAGCAGTGGGGACATTTGGCCCCAGTAGCTTGTGAGTGATGGGACTTTCTGTGCTAGGACCAGCTGCATTCCTCAGAGCCCTGGGGGTGGGGGGATGAGTTGCGTGACTCCGTGCCGCCCTCACCCTTGCCTTCCCGCTGGAGCCCTTCATTCCCCGTGTCCAGAGGAGAGCTAAGCACTGGCCTCTGCGGGGCCCCAGAACTGCTCCCGGGGAACTGCCCAGGGGGTACCTCTGTTACACGGAAGAAGTTTGGGCCCAGCTTTTCAGAGTTAGAGCCCTTTCCCTGCTCTCCCTCACCGGCTGTCCCTGGTCTCTCCTGTACTTGTGGTTTGTAAAGAGCTGGGTTAGGGATTGATGCCGAGCGGGACGGTGGGACAGACTTCTCCTGTCCCTGCTCTGAGCACACCTGTGTGCCCTGCCCAGGGGAGGACTCGGGCCCCAGTCATGCTCTCTGACCCTCACGGCTGGCATCACTTGGCAGGGGCCGCCCTGGGTTCCAGTGGGACTACTCCCTGTCTGGAACTCTCAGAGACTGGGCTTCTGCCTGTATCAGGAAAAGCTCTTGGTTGCAAACATCCGCTCTTACTCATTTCAAAGATGGCTGTGGGTTCCGAGCTCCCGCTCGGAGACCCTCCTGTTTCCTTGCTGCTCCTAAGGGGGTTCATATCCTCCTTTCCATCCGTCTTTTTGTAGCTCGCCTGTTCTCCCCCACAGTTGTCTGCCTGCCCGTGTTTCCTCCTCCTTCCACGTTTGTCTGCCCCCACCCCCTCCTCCACATACTCAACTCCCTGTTTCTTCCTTTTTCCTCCCAACTCTCCTCCATGGCCCAGAGTGGCTCCATCCAGGCCGACCTCTTCCTGGGCCTCAAACACTCCTCTCCTCTCGTCTCGGTGGCTGCTAAGGCCTTGGTCTGTTTTGCACATGAGTTTGGCTTCCGCATGTTGGTGTTCTGTGTTCCTTCTCGGGCCTGGCTTTCGCTTTCTGGCGTGGCTTTAGGTCACTGCTGCCTGTTTCTCCCTCACCTGAGTCCCCTTTCTGCCCCCCAGGTGGCCCACTTCAAGGACTACATCCCCCAGGCTTTCGCCGGGGGCCACAGCATGATCTTGGACTCTGAGGTGCTCCTGATTGACACGAAGACAGGCAAACCGCTGCCCTTTGGGACTCTGGGAGTGCACAAGGTACTGGCTCAGTGCCAGGTGTGCAGGAGTGAGCGGGTGTGGGCATGTGTACACGTGTCTGTGTGCGCTCTTGCTCTCGACGGAGGGGAATCCGTCACCCACTCGGGGTGGGGCTTATTCTTTGTTTCTGGACTGTTTCTGAATTTAGCCCTGGGTTTAGACGTGTTTTTTGTTTTTTGTTTTTTTACATAAAAGGAGCTAGTATTGGGGACTCAAAATCGGGTTGGTTTCCATTTAGGACCATCTGCCAAGTGCACTTGTGGCCCAGGAGCTTCCAAGCACATACAGGAAGGACTGTTCTGTCCAGAGCTTCACGGGTCCATGTTTTACACTTGCTTATTTTTGGCCTCGTATATCTACGACCTCATTTTCCCTTACAGAAAGCTGCCTTCCAGGATGCTAATGTTTGCCTATTTGTTTTTGATTGTATCTACTTCAATGATGTCAGCTTGATGGACAGGTGAGAGATCTGTTTTTGGTTCCTGGGTTGAGAGGTGGGGGTTCATACTGGACAGGAGGGAGGGGAAGAGGCTGAAGCCTGTGCTGCTTTGTGCCCAGGAACTGGGGAGGAGGGAGCTGAGAAGTCGCACACTTGCCACACACTCAACTCCTCAACTCACTGGGAGAGCCAGTTTGCTGACTGGATTTCCTGAGAGCTTAAGTCAGAGAGGAAACCCAGATCCCCACAGAAGTTTCGGTGCTCCAGCAAAGTGGACTGTTGAGAGAAACAGACTGCGAACAGTAGAGGTTTTCAGTTTCTCTCTCCACAAACAGCACCCATGGGGGCATGAGGCAGGTGCTTTTCAGCTCAGGTTTTGCTTTTGGAAGTGTCCGCCAGGAAGCTGGGGACTAGAGGAGGCCTGGAGGTGGGACCGTCTGAGGGAGAACTAGCGGTCTTAACTTCACTGCATGCAGATTCTTGGGCCTGAGAAACCAGGATTGGCCCCTTGCACACCTAGACATGTGTCCCTGCCCCCACCCTCCCACACTGGCCCTGTCACCGAGGGGGATGGGGGGAGGAGAAAGGGGGAAAGGGAGAGACTTGTCAGGACTTCAGTCCTGAGAACCAGCCAGCCTTGGGCCTGGGGGCAGGGGGGCGGCTGCATGGATGAGAAATGAGAGCGGGAGTCATTTTTCACATGGGACCAGACGGTCTGGGCTAGAGGCCAGTTCTCCCGCAGCTCCATGACAGAAACAGGAACTATGAGGATGAAGTGGCTTCGTACCACAGCTCACGGTTGTCCGTGTTCAGTCACGAGGGAGCCCTTGTTGCCCCCGACAGGCAGAACTGTGAGGCTGGGGGGCTTCCCTCCTCAGCACTCCTTATGGGGGTGGGAGGGGCCCGACCTGACCTCAGCTCTCTCGTCCCCCTTAGGCCTTTGTGTGAGCGGCGGAAGTTTCTTCATGATAACATGGTTGAAATTCCCAACCGGATCATGTTCTCAGAAATGAAACAAGTCACTGTGAGCAAAGACCCCACCCCAGACAGCAGCCTGGTGGTTTGCGAGCAGGGCAGAGAGCCCCTTGGTCAGATGTGACGGGGAGAATGAGTCCTCATTTTCTCACAGGGCTGCCACTGTGTGTAGGTTGTCTAAGTCCCCACCTACGAGGGCAGGCCCTGAAACATCCTTCCTAGCTGGGCTCCCCGTCTCAAGGCTGCAGCCACTTTCTGGTTGGGAGAACGCCTGCTTTGCAAGCCCTTTGCCCGGTGTGTTCAAGTCGGGGTGTTTGCAGCGGGCACTCTGCTAGTGTGCGAAAGGGAACCACCTCCACCTCCCCGCCACGGTGCTCTCTGTTCTCACACCAACCTGAGCATCTCTCTGTTACCCTCAGAAAGCTGCGGACTTGGCCGACATGATAAACCGGGTCATCCGAGAGGGGCTGGAAGGGCTGGTGCTGAAGGACGTGAAGGTGAGCCGCCCACACCCTTTGCTTACTTGCTCCCACAGGCTCTCAGCCCCCCCAGCCTTTCCCGCCCTGGCCAGCAGAGGGCGGTGGCGGTCTGAGGTGGCTGGGGCTGGGGGGCTGGGGGGCTGCGGGGCCACCTTTCCAGGGCCTGACGGGCTCTGTTCTGAATCGGCCCTGGATCCGGAGGATGGGTGGCCTGGGCACTTTGGTAAAGCCGAAACGTCGAGGAGGTAAATCTCGGCCTCCTGGAGTTCCCATTCTAGTTTGAGGTCTCTCTCTGCTCTTCCCTCAGGGTACATATGAGCCTGGAAAGCGGCACTGGCTGAAGGTGAAAAAAGACTATTTGAACGAGGGGGCCATGGCGGACACAGCTGACCTGGTGGTCCTTGGGGCCTTCTATGGGCAAGGGAGCAAAGGTAAGGATGGCCTCAGCCCCTGGGGCGCTGCTTCTGTGAAAGGCACCACTCAAGGTGTAGCTGGCCTTTTTACTGGCGTGGTCTGCCGGCGCAGCCGGTCCTGCCTCCCACGGTTGTGGGGTCAGGGGCCCCAACCCAGCCCATGTCTCCTCAGGCGGGGACATCTGACAGCTACAGACTTGGGCAGGGAGAGGTCAGGCAAGAATATCCCATGCTCTCTGGCACAAAGAAGCCCACTGTCGGCTAGTTTCTGGGGGCCTGGCCACTTTCTCCTCAGGGAAAACCTCAAAAATCTCCTGACTGGGGGGGAAGGTGCGAGGTCTTGAGTGGACAGTGTGCCAGACGCTGTTTAATTTTTTTTTTATTCCTCACCAGAGTCTAACGAGTTATATACGATTATCCCCAGTTTACTGAAAAGGAAAATGGAGCTCGTAAAGGTTAAACTTGTACAGTTAGTAGGAGGTAGACCTAGGAGGTGAGCTCGGCGCTCTGATGCCAAGGCTCAGGCCTCTCCCCTCCAGCAGGCTGCCCCTCACCAGGCCTCCATCCACAACTTAACTCACCCCCTCCGCTCGCAGGTGGCATGATGTCCATCTTCCTCATGGGCTGCTATGACCCAAGCAGCCAGAAGTGGTGCACAGTCACCAAGTGTTCGGGAGGCCACGATGATGCGACCCTTGCCCGCCTGCAGAAGGAACTGGACATGGTGAAGATCAGCAAGGTGAGCAGGGGAGCTGCTTGGCCCAGGCCTCTGGACTGGACCTTGTCCCCGAGCCTGGCTGTGCTTGGCAGACGACAGGGATCGTCTGTGTCCGCAGAAGGAGAGCCGCTGCTTGGCCGTGAGAGCAGCGCAGTAGGTCTTCCGAGGCTTTGCGCACCCCCCTTGTGGAAGCTGGCCCGCATGCCCCCCAGTGACGCCTTCTCGGGGCAGGGAGGGTCCCATGGGGTGAGGGTCAGCTTTTTGTGAAAAGTCACCTCTTTACACAAGCCCCTGACAAAGGGGGGTTCACGTTTCATTTTGGCTTGGGAACGGCCCAGGACAGCATCTTTTTTCCTCCAGGATCCCAGCAAGATACCCGGCTGGCTGAAAGTCAACAAGATCTACTATCCTGACTTCATAGTCCCAGACCCAAAGGTACCAGCCCAGTGGCCTGGGCTCCCCCAGCCCACAGAGTGAGCTTGCTGCCTCCCTAGCACCACAGACACGCCCTCTGGGCCTCACTGACCGTTTCCAGCCCAGGATGGGGGTCTGGACTGTTCCGCCAAGGGATGGGCCAGTCAGCACTGAGGAATTGTCCTTAGTGTGGGCAGGAGGAGAGGAACCGTCCCCTAGACACACACAGATGGTTTGCTCTGGAGGCGACTGGGCCCATTCCTTCCACGCGCTGACGGAGGAACTGGGGCCTCAGCCCCAGAGGGTCTGGAACTTGCCTCGGGTCACGGAGCAGCAGCAGGCGCGGTGGGACTAGGGCCCATCTCCCGGCCGACGGCCGGCGCCGGTCTGCATTGCTTCTCGCTGGTTGCGGGCAAGCCTGCCTCCCTAACCGGCGACTGAACTCCTGACAGAAAGCTGCCGTGTGGGAGATCACGGGGGCCGAGTTCTCCAAGTCTGAGGCGCACACGGCCGACGGGATCTCCATCCGCTTCCCACGTTGCACCCGCATCCGTGATGATAAGGACTGGAAGTCTGCCACTAACCTCCCCCAGCTCAAGGTGCCAGCTTCCCTTGCACGTGTGTCCTCCACCCCCGTCCCAGCTTCGCAGCCCTGGCTCTCTGGCCTGCTCACGCGTTCTCTCCTTTTGTGTGCGCGTGCACGCAGCACCACCTCCCCCCCCCCCCCCCCCGCCCCAATCCGCTGAGACGGGGCTAGGAGGGCACTAGCGGGAGAGCCGCCGGCCTCAGGGCCTCGGAGGAGGGACCTCTGCGGCTCTCAGCCTCCGCCCTCCTGCTCAGGCTGGGCCCCAGGCTCTAGTCTGTGTTGCTGATAAGAACCCGGGGACCGAGAACAGTGATTTGCACTGATGACCCAAGAAATGGAGTTCAGAAAAGCTCCAAGAAAGCCAGCTTCTGTCCCTTGCCCTTTGTCTCTGTCTCCTCTTTGTTCCTTGGCCGCATGGGCCTCCATCCCGCCTCAGAGGCCAGTGGCTGGGAAGGGGGTGAGCGCCGCTGCGGTTGTCTGTCGCCCCCCAGGAACTGTACCAGCTGTCCAAGGAGAGGGCCGACTTCACCGTGGCGGCCGGAGAGGAGGGGAGCTCCACCACCGGGGGCAGCAGCGGAGAGAACGGGGGTACCTCAGGGCCTGTGGGGGTTCGCAAGGCCTCCAGGGCCTCCCCGAAGCAGCCCTCCACCGGCGCCAGGAAGGCAGGAGGGAGGCTGAGTGGCCCCAGCAGCAGAGGCGGTAAGAGGAGGGAGGGGGTAGAGCGGTGAAGCGCGTGCTGCGGGGGCAGAGCTCACAGGACAGAGCACGAGGTTCGCTGGGCCCACTGCCGCAGACCCGGACCGTATTCCTGTGGCGTGTCCAGCCGCGGGCCCCCCCATCTGCTCAGCCCACCTGCGTGCCCGGCCCCTGGGGGAGCACCCGTGTGACCCCAGGGAGAAGCCGCCTCCGAGCCAGAGGCCGCATCGGCTCCCAGCAGAGACAGGGCCTGGCCCTTGCGTCGGCTGCCCCCCGCCTTCCGAGCTCCCATCCCAGCCTCTCCCCGCGCAGGCCAGCAGCTGACCTTGAAGGCAGGCCAGAAGCGGAAGGCCCCCGAGGAGACCCCGTGCCCAGCCAAGGTGAGGGGAAGAGTGCCGGCGGCCCGGGGCTCTGCCCGTGGCCACAGAGAGGAGCGGAGGCCTTGTGAGGTGTTGTGGGGATGAGCAGCCAACCACACCCCCCCTGCCCCCCCCAGCCTGGGCAGGCCCCGCAGGACGGCCGCTCCACCCTGTGCCCTCCCATTGCCTTGCAGAGGCGGCCGGCCAGCCCGCAGAGCCGAAGGAGAGCCGTGCCAGCGGGCGGGAGCTAGAGCGGCCCGGCTTAGGTGACAGAGGCCGCAGGCTGCCCCCGGGCTGCTGGTCCCGAGTCACAGTTTACATTAAAGACAGGGGACAGAGCCCGGTCTGGGTGGTGCGGCTGCGTGAGTTTGTGCTCAGGGCCCAAGGAGACTCAGCCTGCGGGGAGTGGGTGACTGTCCTCCTACCCGCCGCGCCGTCCCCTGGTGCCCGCCCATTAGTGTTTGGTTTGAAAACGGCTGTTGGGCCCCTCCTGGATGCGGAAATTAGTCTCAGCCCTGGGCGGGCTGCTGGCCCAAGGGTACGGAGAGGTACACGCTGGCGCTCTGTCCCCACACGGTCCTCCTGCCCCCCAGCCCAGTCCCCAGCAGAAGCAGGCAGCCTTTCCCATCCTTTCCCTACCTGAAGCCCCTGCCCCCGTGCACGGCAGAGCGGGGCTGACCCCCAAGTCTAGCTACCTGTGCGCGGCACACTGCCCCGTCCGCCGGCACCTGGAGGCCGAGAGCCACCGGCCCTGCCCGCTCGATGGAGCCCGGATAGACCCCCTCTCCCCTTCTCCAGCTCCCCAGTGTGGGGACCCACCAGCGCTCCCTCCTTTTCCTCTAGACCGGGGCGGGGTGTCCTCTGGAGTGGCTGGGGGACTGGGGTTTTGATGCCTGGTCCTTCCCTGCAGTCCGCTCTGAGGAAGGTGGCGGCCCCCCCGCCGGCCCAGGCTGACGGCTGTGCGTTCGCAGGTGCTGCTGGACATCTTCACTGGGGTCCGGCTCTACCTGCCCCCCTCCACACCAGACTTCAGCCGCCTCAGACGCTACTTCGTGGCATTCGACGGGGACCTGGTGCAGGAGTTTGACACGGCCTCAGCCACACACGTGCTGGGTAGTGGGGACAAGAACCCTGAGGCCCAGCAGGTCTCCCCGGAGTGGATTTGGGCATGTATCCGGAAACGAAGGCTGCTGGCCCCCTGCTAGGACCGCGGCCCTCCCTTGGCCTGGGCCGTGCTCACTGTGCCCCGGCTGCGGCGGGTGGGCGACGGCGAGGACACGGTGGGAGGGGATGGCCTTTCTTCTCCAAGCAATGTGTCTTCCAGAACCCACCAGCCGTGCTTGGTCTCCTCCCGGCCAGCACTTTGGGGACTTCGGGCTGTGGGTGCCGCCAGGGAAGTCCGTGGCTCCTGCTGGCTCACCGTAGATCTTTCCTATCTGGGTGCTGGTTTGGTTGTCTTTTTCTTTTAAAAGAAGCTTTTTTTCATATAAATAAAATATCTTGCAGTTACCCCGTCCTCCACCCCTTCTCCCCATCATCCCCCTAGTGGTTAAGGCACAGAGTGACGCTGAGCTGTTGAAGCTCCATCCGCAGAGCCACCGGCCCCTTTACTTGCAGGCTCCTTTTAAAGTTATATTTAAAAGATTGCCCTCAGAAATGCTGCTTCTATTTGGCAGGACTTGTATTCAGCTTGACCCTTCCGCCGGGAATGAAGCCTCCTTTGAAAGAAAACAAAATGAATTTTATGACTTAATTCTCTTGTGTTCTCTTACAGGGTGTGGGTCCCGGTTTGAAGGGAGGGAACCAGGATCAGGTAGGAAAACAGGTCCTTTATAAAGAAAAGGGAGGTTATTGGAGCTACTCCTCTGGGGGATACAGGACTCCAGGAGGCTCCGCCTCCCCCAAATCTGGAAACGAGACTGGTCTTTAAGATTAAAAAACCCACTTGAGGACAAAAGGCTCCCGTGCCACCCGAGGCTGGTTTATTGGAATAAAAGGCAAACAGTTTCGTGGAGAGGAGTGCTATTCAGTAGAACTTTTTGTGGCAATGAAAACACCCTGTAAATCTTCACTGGCCAAAAGAAACCAGACACGCTTAGCCACACGTCAGGTGCTCAGCAGCTGACAACTGAGGAACTGAAGTTTTGGTTTCACTTCGGCCTTGACACGGTCACGTGTGGCTACGGCCAGTGCGGGGCCGGGCCTGGTTCACACCTGAGTTACTCAACACGTGGGCCTCCGTCCGCCCCGGATCCGCAGGCTGCTGCCAGGAGCAGACGGACTCAGGCTACCTTACGTGAAGCGCCCGGCACAGGGCCTGGCACGCAGTCGTGTCGAGCTGGGCCCGGGCCTCTCCCTCCCCGGCCGCACGCCGGCCTGTCGCTGTCGCGCTCCTGGCTGGGGCAGGCCCACTAGGTGGTCCCCTCCTTACAGACTGGCTCCCTGGAGTTCATTTCTGCTGACTCGTGAGAGTCCGTTCTCTTTTTTTCTTGCTGTCAACAGGTTGCCAGGTTTGTTTGTCCATCCCCTGTGAATTAAGGTAATGAGACTCAACCTCTGGAACACATTTTGGGTCTGGGCCTCTAAGACTGAGGACCACTGCCTCCCCCGGCCCTCCAGTGTGCTCGGCTGAGGTAGTACTCCGCCGGAGGCCAGCTCTGACCCGACCTGGGTCTCTCTACCTGCCGGCTAAAATGTGGGGAGGAAGGGGCGGGGGGGCTGGCACTGCCCTGACTCTGGCCCAGCACGTTGGTGTTTTTGAATAGGCCCCGTTCAGTCTAGCATGAGTACGCAGAGTAGGACTGTCTTCATTCCGCCCTTTGTGGAGACAAAAGCTGCTCCTCCTTTGAGCGCTGACCTACATAAATTTCCATCCCCCTCTTGAGCCTCCTCAGGCCAAGCCGCCAGACCGGGCAGCAGAACAAAGCATTCCCTTTGGGATTCTGCCAAAGGACACGGTCACTGCCCTCTGACCCGGCTGCCCTAGACCCAGCCCCCTGCCCTGACCGGCGGCTTACACTCGGGGTGCAGCCCCGTGGCCCTGCCAGCGGCGGGAGCAGCTCAGGAGTGAGTAACGCGGCCTTGCTGGGTGTTCTCTCCAGTTCCCTGTCCGAGGTGTTCGGTCTCTTTCCTTCCGGTCTTTTCTCAGGCGTGTTTTTCTTTGCTGCCGAGATTATACTGTCTGTATAATCCTCTATTTCCACGGACACCCCCCCGCCCTGGGCGACAGCATCTTACACCTCCCCAGCACCGCGCTCAAGGCCTGCCCTCCTTTGAGCCTTTGTTTTCACGCTGCTGGTTGGCAGTGGACGGTAGGTCGTCCTGGGTGCCCAGCGGGTCAGCCGCACAGAACAAGAAGGCCAGAGTGCTGCAGCTCAGCCTCCAGCTTTCACAGCCTCCGGGCAAGATTCTGTCCTCTTCTCCCTTCAAGTCCCAAGGCAGATCTGCACATCCTCAAGCTCTCCCCACACAGGTCTGTGCGCACACCAGCTGTAGAGCTGTATCTGAAAGCTACCAGCTGTCTCCCGGGGTCACCTGCAGCCTTAACTGAGCACGCTGGCTGGCCTCCGATTCTGCTCTACCCACATCTCTAAGGCCCATCTCTCCACGATAAGTGTCAACGGCTGACCTCACTTGGTGTTTCTTCCTTGGTCCTAAGGCTGGTCCTTTTGCTACACAGTTCCCATCCTCTTCTAGGCTATGCCATGGCAGCTCCCACATACTAGTTGTGAGATCTTGAGCAAGTCAAAACACTACCGAACTTCGGTTTCCTCATCTGTTGGAACAGTAATGGCCGAATGGCCACATGGCCCAAGCACCTCCACAACTAATGCGGTCTCTCAAGAGCCTGGGACCAGCATGTGGTCTGTCAACTCTCTTTGGCAGTCTGAACTGTCAGACCTCTGGTGTCCTCCACCAGATGAGACAGGCATCTGTAGTGAAATTTTATTACAAAATTATAAAGCAGAGCTCTGTAACAAAAAAAAATACACATTTGGGTTTAACACCCAAGGAAGTCTGAGAGAATCTTAATATAAGCCACATCTGAAAGATTTCAACAAATTTATACAATATACACGGATTCCTGTACAGCTTAATTGTTACTAGCTTGGATCCAGCTATTCCAAGGCATTATGAACCGGTCAGCTCTCCCAAGTCTTAAAACAAGTCTCAGATGAAATCTCAGAACGATCACAGCCAAAGCTACAGAGTAATTGGAAGAATTAAGATGTTGCATGATAATTAAGACCAAGGATCCATGAGAGGCAAGGGAGAGCACTCAGATAAAAAGTTCTCTACCTAGGTTAGAGAGTAACTGAAATGGGATCCCAGCCTTTATTTGGTGTAATAATGATGAGTAACAACAAATCAGGGTTGTTAGACACCTTTTTTCCTGAATGGAAACCTTCACCAAAAGAGATCGAGAGACTTTAAAGGCAAGTTTTCTCCAAACTGAGCAAATGATATCAGTTCTAATTCTTAACTGAGGTTACTAAATAACCTTCAGGATATTATTTTTAACTTCTGTCTAGGAGGGAATGTGGGAGGTAGGGAGAGGTAAGGCCTCAGCAGTGAAAAGCTTTAAGTAGGGAGAGAGCCAGCTTCTGCCCTGAAGTTATTACTAGACCGTAACTGAGTTGCATATATATATGTAGACCTGTTTCACAGCGGAATCGAGAAGTAGCTGAATCCTCCGCTAAACTGGTAGGCATTGTAAACTGTAGTATGTGCTGTCCAGCAAAAAGGTGAAAGAGGTCCTCTTCGCAGACCTCTCTCTCGATTCCCCGGATTTCTACAAAGGCTGTCCCAGAATCAAATCATCCAGGACTTGGTGTAATGTCAAGGTAAGTGGCCCAGTGTGCAACTGACAACTACTTTATGAAATAATTTCATTCCTCCGAAGGGGAACAATGGTTGATAATGGGGGAAAGCCAAAGTATGTCTGTACCAATAAGCAGGTCCCCTTGGAGGTTTCCTACTGTTTTCCAAAGTCCTGACTGGTTCCAGTCTGAGAGAACTTGACTGCACAGCAGGGGGGATGGTGTGGGAGGTGGCCTGCCAAGGCCCTCAGGTGCTTAGGGGTTGCATAGCTCACCCACAGGTAACAGCAGCACACACAGCTCTTTCTGATAGCATGTGTCTGTTCTTGGCTAAGCTTCTCCAGCAAACTTAAGCCCTTTGGCTCTCCCAGTGGTAGAACCACCCTAAGAGGGCTCGAGAATATCCTCTAACTTATCATACGGTCTTTCCTAAAGGGCCTGGAGAATGCTGCTTCCAGACCAGCCCTCAAGTCAGTAGGCTGAGAAATGAAATGGGAGCAGGGAGTCCCCACTAACCTGGGGAATTAAGACTTGCAGCTATCTACCCCAGGGCTGAATCCAGTCTCATTCAGGACCTTCAGATACCCCTTACCTGTTCAGTTTTGGTCTCCAGGAACTTCACGAAAAGTGTAGCTAGAGAAGAGCAAGGCTCCTTGCCTTAGTCTTTATGCCTTCAGTGAGACCCTGTTTAAAACTTCCATGGGAAAGAGAGGGACTTCATTCTCAGGGGAAAGTGGTTTGCAATTCCTTTGTGTTGGAGAAGTCAAAGTTAAGCAGGAAGCCACTGCTTCCACCCAAAACTTCCCCTTTTCTCGTAAACTAAAATTAAGGATGGTGCACAGGCCCTAAACTAAAACTGATGGCGCACAAGGCCTTAAGAGCAGCAGAGATGATCCCCGGGCCATCTCACACACACGACTCAAACTTCCCTGCAGATGCTTTGCTGAACCTTGGGAGCCCCCAAGGTTCGGTCAGGAGACTCACTGCTTCCAATCCCAGCACTTAAGGAAGCAACTGTAAATGACTTTGAAATTTTTGAATAGCATTTGTGTTTCACTTCTCACCAGAGAAAGTTTACTGGTCCAAATTTAGTGCTAAGGAGGATCACTATTGGTCTGGTAAGCTAACATCTTTTTGGTCTGAAGAAACAAATTTTAGGCAATGCAGCAAGAGACTAGCAAAGCTGGTTAAAGCACAGAAAGCCAGAGAGACCAGAAATAAATCCAAATGTGCTGGGGAGGAAGAGAACCTTTTCTACCAGGACTTCTGACAGTTGGAATGCAGACAGGCGGCTCGGGGATGGCCGGGGTGCAGGGAGAAGGGGGGAACTGTTAAGTTTACAGAGGAAGGGAGGAAGATCTGGTTCAAGTTCTGGAAAAGTCCTCTCTTGATCAATTACCATCATTACCCCAAGACCACTGGAACAGGAACTTGCCCACGCGATCTGTACCAGTTCCCACCAGCCTCGGGCTCCGCAGGCCGAGAGGTGCGCCGCCGAGGCAGGACAGGCACGCCCAGAGGTGACCGCATCTTTGCTCGCAGATTCTCTTGTTAGCCTGCCCCTCTGCAAGCTGGCCAATCTGGAGCCCAGACCCTTCCAGCTCCGTCCCTGTAAGGCACTGAAGAAGCCGGCACAGCCCTCAGGATCGGAAGACATGCACGGCTCGGATCACGTACTGCCGGCAGATGGGACACTCGTTCATGCGCTTGCCGCACTTGGTGCAGGTGACCATGTGGCCGCACTCCAGCAGGACACAGTCAATGGGCGAGTCCATGCAGATCCTGCACAGGTTCTCCTCCACGCTGGGCGGCACCGCTCCGCCTGGACAAAGAGGGCAGAGAAGGGGTGGAGGGGAGAGGACACCATAAGTGCAGGGGGTGGCAGGGGGGCTGAGGACGGAGAGAAGGGCATGCTGCGGACACACCCCCAAATCCACACACTGCCCTCAGCTAGAACTCCAGGTATCAGCCCCCCGCTGCCTGTTTCAGCCACACCTCTACTGGCCAGGCCATAGAGGTGCAGAATAAAGTACTTGGAGATCAAATACAACCCAGAACAGGACAGCTAAATAAGGCAGAGTCCTCAAGGCTTCAAAGAATTTTCAGACAGTTGAGGCTGTAATATGGTAAGTGGCACTTAGGGACTCATCATCCCCTGAGGCAGAACATGCTGAAAAGATAAAAACT